AAAAAAAAAAAAAAAAAAAACACTAGCTGGGTGTGATACAGGTGTGTGCCTGTAGTCCCAGCTATGTAGGAGGCTGAGGCAGGAAGACTGCTTGAGCCCAGGAGGTCAAGTCGGCAGTGAGTGGTGATCTTGCAACAGAGCAAGACCCAATTAAAAAAAAAAAATCCACATGGCTCCTAAAACCTTTTGCTTCCACCAGGGGCATCACCTGTCTAGGCTGACCAAACTCACGGGTCCCCCACCCCCAGCCTCAGCCCCACAGTCTGCATCGCAGTTGGGAGAGTGCTTAAAGATGTGGGATCAAAACCCATGGGCAGCTCCCTCACTGTCAGAACAAAGCTGGAAGGCTCCTACTGGCCTGAGAGGTCCCCCGACCTCCTTACCTCAGCTCATGCTGCCCCCGCCTCCCATGGGCCTCACTCAACATCCCCGCTGCTCCCAGTGCCAACAGTACAGCTTCCCATGCCTAGGAAGTCACCTTCTCATGGCTGGAGTTTCAGTTCCAGCATCACTTGCTCCCTGAGTCCCCTTCCCATGAGCATCTTGTGTGAAACATGACCTCGTCTCTCACGTGACCTCTCACTTTATTTTCTTCAAAGCATTTCTAACTACCTGCAGTTTCTTGTTTGAGGTCTGCTGCCCTCTCTAACATATAAGCTTCATTCAACCATTATTTACTGAGCAGCTGCCAGGGATAATTGCTGCTGCTAGAATGTGGTGTGACAGAGTAAATAAAAGCTCTTACTTCCTGAGGCTGAGCTTCTAGGGCAGGGATTTGGGGGGTGATGGTGCCAGGCACTAATACAGATCATGATAAAACAAAGCCAGGCAAGGTTGCCTCCAAGATTTGAAGGGCAGGGTGGCCTCTGTCCACTCTCAGGACAGTGCCCAGGCCCCAGCACAGAGCCTGGCACCTGCTCACCACCTGATGAACAGCAGCGCTCACATGTTTGGAGTAGAGGACCTGAGCCCAGCATTGTTCTAAGCATTTCCCGGCATTTCCTTATTTATTTATTTTTGCGACAGGGTCTTGCCCTGTCACCCAGGCTGGAGTGCAGTGGCACGATCTCAGCTCACTGCAACCTCCACCTCCCAGATTCAATCGATCCTCCTACCTCAGCCTTTCCAGTAGCTGAGATTACAGGCATGTGCCACCATGCCCAGCTAATTTTTGTGTTTTTAGTAGACACGGGGTTTCACCTGCCTTGGGCCTCCCACAGTGCTGGGATTACAGGCCCAGCATCTACTCATTTAATATTCACTGAGGGACCCATGAAGCAAGAACTGTGACCACTCACACTCTACTGATGAACAGTACACTGAGGCCCAGAAAGATCCCAGGACCCGGCCCCTCTCCTACTATCACTGTGTGGCAACTGGCTCAACGCCCCACCGCCTGCTGGGTCACATGCTCGGATGTCAGCATTTAACGGCAGAAATCAACACACACTCCTTGACTGACAGTGTTCTACTAAGCCCAGGTGATCTATCTGCCCAGGCTGGAGTGCAGTGACGAGATCTCGGTTCACTGCAACCTCTGCCTCCCAGGTTCAAGTGATTTTCATGCCTTAGCATCCCAAGTAGTTGGGATTACAGGCGTGCGTGACCACACCTAATTTTTGTATTTTTAGTAGAGACGGGGTTTCACCACATTAGCCAGGATGGTCTCGAACTCCTGAAATCAAGTGATCCACCCGCCTCGGCCTCCCAAAGTGCTGGGATTACAGGTGTCAGCCACCACACCCAGCCCGGTTCATGCTTATTCTTAAGCATAGAGCAGCAATGTGGGGGAACAGCTGCTCTTAGGTGATCACTCTGCATCCTCCAGGGACTGCCCAGTGGCACCCACACTGCCCTGTACCTTATCGGGTATTCCTGAGAGTGAGTTATTCCTGAGAAGCAGCTCTAGTTCCAACTATTTCACAGCTGAGGTAATAGAGACTGAGCACTATGCATGGCTGGGGAGAAAACTGAACCGTGGATGCCTCTACAGCTCCCCTCCTCTGTACCCTGACCTCCCTGAGTCTTTCCTCCACCTTCTACCCTGTCTCACCTTCAGGGCACAGGAAGGGTCAGCAGCCACAGCTGTGGACCACCCGCCACCAAGTCCCCACCAAGCCACAGCAGAGCCTGGAGTTGACCAGACAAACCTTTATTCCTGAGGCTAAAACATGTACCAGTTCCCTCCCTGTACCCAGCCAGTGCCAGCCTGACTACAGTCCCCTGTCCCAGGCCTGGAGCACTGAACTTGGAGTCCCAGGACCTCCATCCCTGAGTTGTGTGTATGTACATGGAGGGGCCTCCTGGGTAGCACCTGGAGGTGGTCTAGGGGTGAGGAGCTTCTCAAGGGTGCCCTGTCACAACCTTCAAAGGTACACAGTCTCAGGCAGGTTGCAGCACAGTCAGAGTCTGGTGACCTGGGGGGGGCAGAGGAGGGGAGGCTCCAGTCAGTTTCCAAAGGACACAGACCAACCCCGGCCCCTAGGAACAGCTTTATCCAAAGACAGCAGGGAAAGCACTGGGCCCACTGGGGATGGCGCCATGGCCACAAGGAAAGACTCCCTGGAGCTCGGGCCAGGGTGGGGACAAGCAGTAGATTAACAAAAAAGAGCTTGGCAGGCCAGAGGTCTTGACTCACCGAAACAGGGCTGTCGGGGACAGGCCTCGGGTGTTGGAGGGCAAAGGTGACAGCATCGTGGACAGAGGCAAAGAGATGCTTCTTGGTGACAGATGCATCAAAGAAGTGCCCAGCCTCAAGCTGGCTGACCACAGGGCCTGTGGGCAAGGAGTAGGCCTCCCCTGACTCTCAGAACCACCAGGAACTCAACTCCCAGGAGCCAACAGAATGCCCTGACCTCAGCACCCCTGACCTCAGCACCCCTGACCTCCACCCCTGAGGCTAACTATAGCTGGACTCACATCACTTGTAACCCTGGAATCCTGTCTCCCAGGATACCTCTGACCTCCAGTTCCAGAGAAAGATTTTTCCCTTGTGCTAGCTGGAAGACTCCTTGGTCAAAAGCATCCTACCTTCTTCCCAGGTCCCTCCTGCTGTCCCCACCCTACTTACTGTGGCAGGCTGCCATGTACACCTCCACCTCGATCTCCCGGAAGTCACGGAAAATCTGTAGTAGAAAAGGGGGCCAGCCTCAGAGGGAGTCTCAGGGACTTCATGGGCGGCTCGGGCAGGCTTGGGGAGGGAGTTTAGAGGGGGAGCTTTGAGGATTTGGGGAGTCAGAGGCTTGGAGTGCTCTCAGGGAAAGTTATGGGGTCAGTGTGGAGGCTTGAGGGGTCTTGGCCTGCCTCTGTCCTTACATTCTTCAGGCTCTTGAGGCACACAGTGTCCACGAAGGAGAGAGCGCTCAGGTCCAGGATGAGGCTGTGGAAGTCTGGCTGAGGCAGGCCCAGGGCCTTCAGTGTGGACACATCTAGGGCCTTGGAGTCTTCTTGACCACTGGCTGTTGCATCTTCCATCCTATCCTCTGGGCTCACCTGATGGGGAGCCAGACATGCTGCCAGGGTCACCCATGAGAGGGTGAAGGCAGGACTGGACACACACAGACATGTAGGGACATGCAAGTCAGATGCGGAGCATGCATGGGACACATAAGGACCCAGACATGGGGGTGTCACATAGGTATAAAAAGACAGGAAGGACAGATGTGTGGGGACACGCAGGAGGCCACACCCAGATGTGCATATACTGGTCTGCTACCTCCTTGACCGAGGCTGCACAGGGACACGAGAAGGGACAGTGCTGGGAGACCCTGTCCCATTCTCCTCAGCCAGGTCCAAGAGGGGAGGGGGCCCAGGAGCAGACCAGAATAGACACAGGCATCCATATAACACACGCACACGCCTCGGCACCCTGCCCTGTCCTGAGTCTCTAATTAAGCTTGGCATCACCTTTGAACCCTAATTTTTTTTTTTTTTTTTT